TGTACAATGAATTTTACTCATTTTGCTTAAACTTTACCGTAACATTTGCTAAACTGTTCAATAGATACATGGTTTATAGACTTACAAAAGGAAGGTTCAAAACATTCTTAATTTTTCATTAGGCTATATTTCTTTCTTCTTCTCCTTTTTCTTTTGCAGATTTTTAAATGTTTCAACAAAAGCAAATTATAATGGAAATCATCAGTTTTTATCACAGGTTTTTTTTTCTCTTTGACAACCCAGTTTTTTTGAACAAATATTAAGCATAATGTTCAATCGCTGTAACCTCGTAGACCACACATTTACTTTTTTTTTTTCATTTTTTTTCTATACAACTCTAAACTCCAAACTTCTTTTCCTTTTTTTTTTTTTTTTTTTTTTGCACTATATTTCTCTTATCAGTTGGAAAACTTAAAAAATTTAATACAACCAAAAATATAAGTTAATTTTTTTCCCAGCTGCATTATAAAAGTATCAGTAAAAAAAATGCTGAAAGTAGTATGAGTAAGTGGATTTCTTCCAATTAAAATCAAAAATTTTTGTGGTACTGCAAAACAACAAGATTTAGTTTCTTTTCTTTTTTTTCAAATTTTAATATCGTATTTTGTGAAGCTTTTCTTAAAGATTGTTGTGCATTTAGAAGAGATCAAATGAAAATATCTGATTGATAGTTACGAAATTTTCAAAATACCTATCCTTTTATTAAATTTCAAATGTCTTAGTTAACTTAGTTTTTTTTTAAGTTTAAATATTGGTTTATTTAAAATGATTAATTCTCTATATGATAACTCTGTTTTTTTTTTTTTTAACTGCAGCACTGGCAACGGTAGCAAATGGCTCAACAACTATACCAAATTCTGGAACCTTAACAACAACAACTGCAATGCAGCAGTCTACTTCGCCAAATGATCCAGGAGTCATTACTTATACAGAATGGTATACAGAATGGCATACTTGGACAGAACTTGTTTTAGATGATAGAATTCGAGCAGCAGCAAATCCCTTTGATTATACATGGGATAAATTTCATGATGATATTATTAAGTATTGCCTTAAATATATTTATCTTGGATGTGGTATGTTTGTGGCAGCATGTGTGCAGGTATGCTATCTTACTTTTTATTTCTACGGTAAGATAACTGTTTAAGTTGAAACGGAATTGTCAGTACTAAATTATAGGCAACAAAAGAAAATTTTACTCTTCTAGGTTTTATCTTATTTGGTAGCTTCTGAAAATATGAATGACAGATTACGGCGTCAATTTTTTAAAGCAGTTCTTCGTCAAGATGTAAAATGGTATGATAAAAATCAAAGTGGTACACTAACAACAAAAATGTTTGAGTAAGTTGTTTTTTTTTTTATGGGGGGTGGGGGGAAGGAAGTTGCTTATTAAAATTAAATTCTTTTGCTCTTTCTTTTTCGCCTTTGAAGAATAGCATTGTAGATGATTTTGTTGAACAAATTAAAATCTGTTTCAACACTGTGCTGGTCATCCAATGACTGTGATGGTTTTTTTTTTTCAGTAATCTGGAACGAATCAAGGAAGGAACTGGCGATAAAATAGCTTTATTAATACAATGTACTAGTCAATTTTTTTCTGGCTTTATTGTAGCATTCAGTTATGATTGGAAACTAACATTAATTATGATGTCACTATCACCATTTATGATTATTTGTGGCGCATTTCTCGCCAAGGTTAATTGTTTCTTACAGCCTTCCACAAACCTCACCTGACTCATACTTCCTTTTGAAAAAAGCTTCAAAGAGGACTAAATTGAGCCTGAATGCATGTATGCATCTAAATCATTTTTGAATTCCAGCTTATGGCCTCTGCAACTGCTAAAGAAGTGGCCAATTATGCTTCTGCAGGAGCAATCGCTGAAGAGGTACTAACATCTGCTCGCACTGTAGTCTCATTTAATGCACAGCAGTATGAGTGTGACAGGTTAGAATGCCATGCTTATATAGGTGTGCCGACAAAAATACTGCTGTTCTACTCTATTTTGCTTTATGCTTAGGTATGACAAAGCACTCGGCAGAAGTATGAAAGATGGGATACTGAAATCTTTCTTTATTGGAATTGGTGTTGGTACGACTTTTATGATTATCTTCGGCTCATACGCTTTAGCATTCTGGGTAGGAACAAACTATGTTCATGATGGTACCTTAGATGCTGGTACAGTGCTTACGGTAAGTTAACCAAAACTCTTCCCCTCTCTTTTATTTCAGAAAACTGAAAAAGCCAAATAGAGATATTATAAGACTTTTTTTTCAAGCTGCTCTATGCGGCGCACGGTGGGGTAGTATTTTCTGTCGTTTCTAAAGCCTTTATTTGTTTAGGTATTCTTCAGCGTTTTGATGGGTTCTATGGCACTTGGTAATGCTGGATCACAGTTTGCCGTCTTGGGTGTTGCTCTAGGTGCTGGAGGGACGATGATTGAACTTATCGATCGAGTAGGTTTCAAAATTATTGCTCCATTTCAGTAACAAGTTTTAATTCTTGGGTTTAAGGAACCAGAAATTGATGCATTTGACGAATCTGGCGAAAAACCTTCTAAAATGACAGGAAAAATTGAGTTTAAAAGTATTCACTTCTCATACCCTACACGGCCGGACGTTAAGGTATAGTCGCGCCATATGTACTTCTTATATTCTCATTAACTACTACTATAACTGGAGCGACATTACGTTGCACTTTTTTTGTCAAAGATAAACAGTCGTGCTTTGAGTGTACAACTTATAAAATTTGCGCATTTAATGAACTAAAATTGGTCACATAAATGTACATTTTAGATTTTAAACGGCATTTCATTCACCGTAAATCCAGGTGAAACAGTGGCCCTGGTTGGCCCAAGCGGGTGTGGCAAAAGTACCACAGTTGGTCTGCTGCTGCGTTATTATAATCCGACGGAGGGTCAGGTGGTGTATTTTCAACTTAACTAAGCTAGAAATAAGTCCGAAAAGTGTGCGCGAATAATCGTGGTAAACTTAGAAACGAGCCATAAACGAATCTATATTATCTTACATTGTCATCATCCGACGATTTTTTGATAGTTCTAATGCTATTCTAGACAGAAAAATCTGTTGCAGATAACAGTAGACGGATATGATATAAAGAATTTGAATATTGGGTATTTACGAGATATGATTGGTGTCGTTTCTCAAGAACCCGTTCTGTTCAACACAACAATTGAAGATAACATTGCGATGGGTACAAGTCAAGTCACAGTTGCGGAACTGAAAGCAGCCTGCCAGAAAGCTAATGCTGCAACCTTCATTGAAACTTTACCGGAGGTTAGATTTTGAACTACAGAAAGTTCAACCTAAATTCTCTCCATCAAAAAATACCTCCAAATTACCGTATAATTTTGAAGAAATATAAAACTTTGGTCGGTGACAGAGGCACGCAGTTATCAGGCGGTCAAAAACAACGTATTGCAATTGCACGAGCTTTGGCTAGGAATCCAAAGATATTGTTGCTTGATGAAGCTACCAGTGCACTTGATGCTGAAAGTGAAAGTATAGTGCAAGAAGCGTTAGAGAAGGTAAGTTTACGTTGCTGAATGTGATGTATATTCCACAAGTTCCAAGAGACTTAAAGTTTTAACAGTTTTAAGCAACGATAAACAGCTTAAGAATGTCAGCAATTTTGCAATTTTAGGCCGCAGAAGGAAGAACAACAATTGTCATTGCGCATCGACTGTCAACAATCAAAAATGCTGACAAGATAATTGTAATAAAAGAAGGTAATATCGTGGAAGTTGGGAAACACAATGAACTAATCGCCCAAAAAGGTTTTTATCATGAATTGGTAAACGCTCAAGTGTTTGCTGATGTTGAAGAAGGTAAAGTTGAGAAGCAATGTTGCAATTTTTTCCCTTTGGAAAGTCACCAATCCAATGCGGTTTTTCGACATATTCCTCATAAATTATAGGTAACAATAAAAAAGAGACAACTGCTGCTAGCGTTATTACAAGACGGCAATCCTCTGTGATGTCAAGACGATCGAGATTGTCAAGTGCTACATCAGAAAAGAACGATCCATTATTAAATCTGTCAAAACCTTCTGATGCTAAGAATACTGGACCACCCACTGAAGCAGATGTGAAACGAGAAAGGGAACGGTTAAAGAAAGGTTTCTATTTTAATACAACCCCGTGATCTGGCTCAGTATTCCTTCACTTCCTGACTTTATTTGCCTTGTTGTAGAAATGGAAGAGGAAGGAGGTGTAGAATCTAATTTGTTTGCCATTATGAAGTATGCGAAGCCCGAATGGATGTACATTTTGCTCGGCCTGATTGGCTCTCTCGTTAAGGGCTGTGTCTTCCCAGCATTTTCGTTGTTCTTCACCGAAATCCTCGACGTTAGAGTTCCTTTTACTGTTTATTTTTTTTTTCAAATATGGCATCAATTGGGAGGAACCTACAATTGTTACTGATGAATCTACAGTTGCACCAGCTTTCGAAAAAGCTACTAGCAATTGGCCTATTTTTATAACCTTTCAACTTCTGCATCCCGCTCTAATCTGTTCATTTCTTCTACTTCACAAGTCTATTTATACCACTTCGGGTAGATGATATTATTTTCTAAGCACGTGTACTTGATGATTTTTTGACGTCGACAATACATGGCTGCCAATTTTTGGCATTCTCGTTTACAAGTCTTGCTTTTTTACAGCTTGCTGAGGGGCAGAATTTATGAGATTCCCCTTAGCTAACTAAAACAAATAAAGATACTTATACATGCGGAATTTCAGGTCTTTTCAATAGAAGACAAAGAAAAAATGCTTGAAAAAGGACATTTTTGGGCTCTTATGTTCTTGGTCCTCGGTGGCGTCCAGTTCTTCAGCATGTTTTCACAAGTTGGTTTCTTTGTAGCCGTCTATTACTATGAAAAGTGTACGTTAAATTTGAAAACTGCTTATGTATAAATTTTTTCAAAGTACTTTTGACAAAATTTGAGGCATTCT